TTTAAATCAGAAATTACTTGAATGCACACAACAACAAGAACAGATTGCAAATGACCGAATTCTGGATGGAACCATAACAATTGAAGTGAAAGCATAGTGTTATTATGTAGTGTGAAAGGGCTCTATATCCTTCATTAAGAGTGAAATTGACAAATTCCCCATTTTCCTTTTTTTTAAAGTAAGCAAAGTGTCTTGAACTCCATATTTATCACTCAGTTTTGGGGTTGTGACAAAATTCTTCACCATCTTGAAAAATAGCTGCATTACACAAGTCATCTGTCTTTGTGTATTTCATGCTTTATTATATGCTCTCTTTCATTATCACTATAAAAATTACTGGGTACGTTTCTTGCTTCCAGTCCTAAAATGAACTGCAAAGTCTGTGTTATCTATTTTACATGGGGTATTTCTTAAATAATGTGATCGAAATACCCTAATGACATCGGATCATATAAGCCGGGTCAATTCAGTTTAGTACTTGGATGGAAGACCACAGCGAATATGGGGGCTGCTGTAGGCTATGTTGAGGGAAAGACAATGTGAAACCAGGTCTGACAATTTCTTGCCTTGGAAAACTCTATGGAATTCTTGGGGATGCCATAAGTCAATAGGTGGCTTGAAGGCACGTGCACACACTTCTGGAAAATCCTAAAAATTACTTGACTTGTATTACCTTTATCATTATTTCACTCCATGAGTTCTTTTCTTTGAGCTGTTGCTTGTGAAAGTCAATATCTCATGAAAAGTTGTAGTAGAGCCATCTCAATTCCATATTCACCCATTAGCCTGGTTTACCTGGGGTAGGCCTGATTAATTTTCTATTTTCCACTTTTTAGCTCCTATTTTCCATCTTCTTCACGTTCCCCTTCAGTTCTCATCTGATTTCAGTTTCTACATACTGAGTTCAAAGTGAAAAAAAAACTGTACTGATTTAATTCAGTGAAGAAGAGGATTATTGCTCTTCAGGCAAAAGCAAACCTTTGTAACATCTCTTAGATTATGTGTTATTCCTCACTAATAATTTTGCCATCTTGACCACATTCTGATGTTGCATAGCCACACATATCTTACTTTCTTCTGTGAAATGTTGCTAGGTATTATTCCTTCTCTAATAGGTGGTCCTTCCTATTTTCCTATATTCTTTTGTTTTTGAAGTTCACTCAAAGATTTGCCCACAGATACATGAGGGGAGGACATGTATGATGGATTGAAAAGAATTGCATCAAAAACAATGTAAAATCGAATCCAGGGGTCCTCAAACTTTTTAGACAGAGGGCCAGGTCACAGTCCCCCAAACAGTTGGAGGGCCGGATTATAATTTGAAAAAAACATGAATGAATTCCTATGAACACTGCACATATCTTATTTGTGGTTCAAAAACACTTAAAAACAATACAATAATTAAAATGAAGAACCATTTGAACAAATATAAACTTATTAGTATTTCAATGGAAAGTGTAGGCCTGGTTTTGGCTTCTGAGATAGGATTGTTGTTGTGGTGTGCTTTCAAGTCGTTTCAGACAGATTGACCCTGAGCGAGGGCCGGGTAAATGACCTTGGAGGGCCGTATCCGGCCCCCGGGCCATAGTTTGAGGACCCCTGATCTAATCTAATGGTTGCCGATTGTGAGGCCACCCTGAGTCCCTTTCGGGGGGTGAGAAGGACGGGATACAAATGTATGAAATAAATAAATAAAACACAAAGGAAGAAAAAATAGTTTCTTAACATAGTGGGTATGGTATTTTCTCTCTTTCTTCGCCCCTCATAGCTTTTATGCTAGTTCGTAACTTAACAATCCCATGAGCTGATATAAAAGTTTGAATGTTACATTTTCCTCTTGCTTGTTGTCTTCCAAGGATAGATTATATTAAAACAGGAGTTTCCTCCTATTTTACCCTTCCCACACCAAATTATTTATCAAATACCTCTGCAGTACTTCAAGAGAATGACTCCTCCAATCTTGACTTGAGAGCTGTATGCCTAAGCGGATATTTGTGTTTGGATCCTACCAATCCCATAAGTTTACAGATGCATCTGTCACAAAAAAGATGTTCCATATATTCTAATTTACAATGTAGGATGGGAGGTTTTGAGAACCAAGAGCAACAGGTAGAATTTAGAGGACTGTGTTTTTTCAATATATGTTTGGACTTCAGTATGATAACCTTAAAAGACACCAGGCTCAAACTCCTTCCACTCTTCTTTTTCTCACATATATGTGCAAAGAAATTAGCAACAACAATGAAAGTATACAGGAATCCAGGGACTGATGATTTGGTACTGGAGTAGTATTTAGACTGGAAATGAGGGGTCAAAGTGACCTGTGCCGACCATGCTGTCTAAGAGGACTACAAACATATCAAAAGATTTATTACCCCAGAAGAATTTTAGTTGTACTGTGAAATCACTGTTGACTTGTAAGGAGGCGCAAATAAGGATGAGCACAGACGAATTATTTTCAGCTTTTCATGCTTTTGTTGAAGTTTTAAAAATAGATGTTTCTGAATACAGCTGGTTTTCCAAACTTCTATAAATAAGTTGTTTCTACGGTTAGCATATGACAGGGGTACTGAAATGTGGTTCCTTTTCAGGCAACTCATTAATGTTAGAAGTCTTCAGTTAGATGGACTGAGTCTATACCAATACAGTTTTTCATGTCACCTTTTATAGGAACAGTAATAGAGAGAAAACTAGAGAATATTCTTCCAGTGATGGTGATCTTCCATGATCCCAAATGACATAAGAAAAGCCATACTGCAGAGCTCCTCGGCTGCTAAAGGAATATTTTTTAAAAACTACAAATGACTATACATTTGTGGATTTCCTTCTTGTGGATTTGATTATCCATGGATTTTATTAATATGTTCTCTCTAGGAATTTCTAGGTCCTCCAGTGTAAGACAAGAGTGAGACTCAAGAATTAAAAACCACAAGGAAAACAATGTTTATATAAAGACATACAGATAGTTAAGATTAAAATAATATTAAACAGTCAATGGAATTAAAACTATGTTGGATCCTAATCCAACATTCAAATCAACACACCATACTAGAACTCTTTTAATTAAGAGTTCTGGTATGTTGTGTTTATTATTTGCTTGTCTTTTGGTGTTCTGTCCCTCATGCTTCTAAGTACTTATATGAAATCACTGGGAGAAATCATCAGGAGTTTAGTAGATCAGTGTCATCAGTACACTATCATTCCTTTCCATCTTCCAAAGAACCTTTCTGTACTAAGCCAGTGTCTGCCGTCAGAAGGCTACAAGACTATGAACAAATTAAAATTTCATCCAGACAAGACACAGGTAGGGATTCCTCCTGTAATGAATGGGATTGCACTACTATACTCAGATCGAAGTCTGGATGTTTAGGTTTCAGCTGTAGTCAAAGGTGAGCCTGCACTGTTTAAATGAGTGCATTAGCTATCCTGCTGGTCAATTTCTGGATAAAATTCAAAGTGCTTTTTTCAGTTTTAAAGCCTTTTTATAGCTTGAGACCAGACTAGACCTTTTACATGTCAATTCACATCTTAAGGTCTGCAGGGAGCGCTTTTTCTCAGTCGTACCTCTTTCACAAACACGTTTGTTGAGGACTCCAGAGAGTGTGGCTACTCCCAGACTGTGGAACTCCCTTCTGCAAGAGGGCCAGTTGGCTCCCTCCCACAGAAGGGAGTTCCACAGTCTGGGAGAAGCCACACTCTCTGGAGTCCTCAACAAACGTGGAAGACCAGTTGGCTCCCTGCCATCTCTTTTTGATGGTAGGTAAAGATTTTTTTGTTCAAGCAGAGGGTTTATTGAGGGCTTTGGATTTTAACCATAGAGACAACATGGTGTAGTGGGTTGGGTGTTAGGCTACAACTCTGAAGACCTGGATTCAAATTCCTGCTTAGCCATGGAAACTCAGTGGTTGACTCTGAGCAAATCACACTCTCAGAGAAAGGTGAAGCCAAACCTCTTCCAAATAAAACCCTGTGATAGGGTTGCCTTAGGATTGCCATAAGTTGTAAACAACTTTGAAAGCACACAAGAGTACATGTACATAGTACTGCATTTTAAATCTTTTACTGTGTTTTAGATGTTTTCAACTGTTTTATGCTTAAATATGTTTTAAATATTTTCAACTATTTTAAATAATTTTAAACAATACTGTTATATTTCATTTGTTTTTAACTTCTGTAAACCAATGTTTAGCTTAACCCTTTAAATAAATATATTATGAGCCACCTTGAATCCTTTCTTAAGAAAAAGACAGGGTATGGATTTCATAAATAATCAAATAATTCATTACATCAGTTAGTTTCCTAATGTCAAGAACTGTCTCAGTATCATCTACCTATCTAGTTTAGAAGAATAAAATGTCAATTGTGCCATTTTTACAATAGAGTTCAAATAGTGTTGAGAATATGAACGGTCTCCTGATGAAAATGAATGGGATGGGAGAAGATTTGAGGGTTTGTGGTATGGTTCTAATGCTAGCAAGTCAGTTCTTAATCACTTCCTAAAGTTAGTAACCAATTGTGGAACCCAAGTTAACTTTCCATTTGAACCCTATTTTTGACTGGACAGTACTGCACCATAGCCCTAAAAAGTTGTTTGTTCCTATCCTGCCTTTTCTCAAGTGGAGAATGGCCTATCATATCACCTCTGTTCTCATTATCTATTTTGTCACAGAGGTTTCCCCACTAGGACTATGTGGAATATTATAACCAGCATACCATTGAACACCCCTGAGGTTGTCAGATTTCAAGAGCTATACAGGGTTGGTTTGGTTAATGGTCAGTGAGAGATCACCAAGGAATTTGGAGTATCTCCACCAGTAACTTGGGAAAAATGCTGCATGAAACTTGTTTGTTGCTGATCAGAATTGAAAATGCTGAACCATAAGTGTCCATGTTCAATGTAAGGGGAGCCTTTTATGTCACTATGACAGTAGTTTTTTGATGTGCAAACTGGTGTTTCCAAATAATTTATTTTGTGTAATCCATTTTTTAATTTTTTACAGAAGATGAGCGAAAAACTGAAAGATTGCTTGGGGGAAATGGTGACTATCAAGACAGAACCCTGCTCTCCATGCCGGGAAGAGGAATATGGACAACTTTGGTAAGAGAATTCCTTGAGCCTTAATATTTCAAATCCCACTTCTTTCCACACAGATCTGTTTGTCAAGCAGTGCCTGTGTACCTTTCACGCATATTGCAAAGCATTCAGAACTACAATAACCGACTAAAGTAATACAAGGATGCTAAAAAAAAACACAGATCTACTTTTTGTCTGGAAGTTTTTTTTAAAAAAATGTTATCTACTAAAGTTTTACATCACAATATAAAACTTTAATATTCCACCTTTTTATTTTGCTTTCTGATTAGCTCTGGAAAGGTGGATTCCCAGTCTGTGGATGTGGAGCCTAAAAAACTGAAAGGAAAACAGGATTTGATCATGTCGAAGAGTTTTCAGCAAGTTGATTTCTGGTGTAAGTTTCTTGAATTAAATGCAGTGACATTTTGAAGGCAAATTCTATGTCTGTAACCATGATGTTAACTTGTTTCTCTTTAATGCTTAGAATCCTTATTTTAATTTCTACTAATCTTGTGCGTTTGTATAGAATCACTATCCGTTTCTGTTTGTTTCATTTATATTGCCCCATTTTCGTTTTCAAGTGCCGCTTCCAAAAGGTGCACCTTTCCGAATGGGCGTTTTTGTTCCGCATCTGAAAGAATGAACATTTTCAGACCATTAGAGGCAGTGGGAGGGCTTCCCAGGCTCCCCCTCTCCTCAGCTTTAGGCCTAGAGGGTTAAAATCACCACACATGGAGGGCATATCTACCACTTTTAGCCCACTAACTTGGTCAAAGTCTTTTGAAGATGACACCTTTTCCCAACGCTATGGCTGTTTTTCTTAAAATGTATCACAGATGTGATGGAACTATTCCTGGAAATGCAGTGATTTAGAGGGCAGAACGAAGTAGGCCAGGTACAGAGAGAGAAATTGAACGTTTGATAGATAGTGTTTTCAAGAGTGGAGAAATTATTCTACTGAAGACCAACAACTACTTTCCTTTGAAAAATAATTATTTTTTAAAAAATTCAGGAGGCAGAATACTCACAGAGAGAAATATATCAGAAGTAGAAGTAATGCAAATATAGTACTAGAGAGGGAGGTAAAGGAAGTGGATTTGGAGGGTTTTCCTTTTGCTAGAATTGCTATTACAGTAATATAATTATAATTAATACCTTTCACAAGGCTTTTTAGGGATAGGAGAGGAAGGGAGGAGAAAATTTTAGGGTGACCCTGACTACGGCTCTGTGAGACATCCGAAGATTTTAAAATATTTTAAAAGTAAAGAAACAAGAAGAAAAGAAAAAATCTGATCAGCTATCAAACAGACGCCCTTCTCCCCAAAAGCCCAGCATGGATGCGTGCACCAGTGCCATATGGTGACACCCAGAACAACCCACCCCTACCCATTCAAAACTCCCAGTCCCTTTAAATAAAAAAAGAATGAAATAAAAATAAAGACACTAAAAAGATACCAGCACCCAAGCATAAAAGCCAAGCTAAGGCAAAAATCAGTGGCTGGCTGTCAGCAAGGCAAATAGGCACAGGAGCAAGCTCCAGTGATTACATTGAGCAGTGCATGTCATTATGTTTTTCTCCTCTGATTGGCCCGACTCGACTCAGAGATAAAACAACACAGAAATACTCTCTGGGCCATGCCACGTGGCCCAAAAAGCAGGCAGCCACACAGTTACCGTTGCTACTTTCCTTTTTGTTTCACTATTTTTTTACTGTGGGGGGTTGAACCGTTTCGTGCTATCTGAATAAAACAAACAGAACAAAAACACAAAATAAACTGATGAAATGGTAACCGGACCCATGACTTATTTCTACTTCAATTTTTTTGTAAGGAATTGTATGGGTTAATACCAGTTTTTTTTCAAAGAGTGTGTACTTGTTATGGCATGCACAGGGTTGTCCTTGCTATGTTCTTTGTGCATCTGAGCATCCATTGGCTATACAGTGGCCGCTGGCAGTCTCTGAGAACACTTACATGCTGATATCTGGCTCTGAGGAGGCATTTTCTCAAATTCAGGGATTTGTATTTGACCACTCTCTCAAAAGCTCATCTTTGCACTCTGAACAGGTCCTCAGAATGAGACAGAGGGTAGTAATTTGTCTATATAGCTTTAATAATTGGGGACAATGTGATTCCTTGTATATTAATCAGCAGAAGAGCTTTCACTAGATGTCAAACAAGCCATATCAGCTTGATGGGGCCATTATGATGGGGAAAATGGTAGGCATTTCATCCTGCTTCTTGGAAATGGTAGGGTTAATTTCTTTTCAGTTCCACAAGGCTGTGAAGTATGCCTGTGTCTTAGAATTAATTATTTGCTTTCCCAAACAATAGTTGGACTGAAATTATTTTGATTGGTCCAAGTCAGAGACTACATATCTCTTCTTCCCAAGGTCTTAGGCTAGACACTGGTTTTCACTGAAAAGTCTCCTGAACATTTTTCACAAAGCCTGCCTACAACCTTGCTGGCAAATTCCTTGCCACACCACGAAGCTTTGATGTGAAAAGTAGTCCCCTTTTTGATACATGTTGATACCTTAGTGGGCCAAGATAATTCCTGTTTCTTCCTTCTCCTCCTACAGTTTGTGAATTGTGCCAGGAGTATTTTGTGGATGAATGTCCAAATCATGGGCCCCCCATGTTTCTGTCAGATGTCCCTGTACCCATTGGCATCCCTGACCGAGCTGCACTGACTGTCCCACCTGGCATGGAAGTGGTGAAAGAGGCAAATGGGGAGCGGGATGTGCGCTGCGTGGGTGAGGTTATCCCCAAAGGGCGTATCTATGGACCATATGAAGGGAAACTCTCCAGTCAGGACAAATCAGCTGGATTCTTTTCTTGGCTGGTTAGTATTCTGCTCTCATTTTCCCAGTGATATGTGTCTTGTAGCAGTTGGTTGCATAGATGCTTTCAGAATTTTAAGATGATGAATGCCTGTAGCTTATAGTTACATGGGTAGTTCTTTCTGTTTGCAGCCATGGAAAGTCCTGGAAAAGCAAGCTTGGATGTCTGGGGTGGAATTTTAATACTGCTAAAGTAAGCTTGGAATGGCTGCTTAGAAGTAAACAATTTAATAGTACCTTCTCCAGGTCTCAACTGATGTTGTCTAGGAAATACAGTAACTGGAAGATAGTGCCAGAGCCATTTCCTTATTCTGGTTATGCCTTGTATTTTCTCCCCCAGATTGTTGATAAGAACAACCGCTACAAATCCATAGATGGAACAGATGAAACTACATCAAATTGGATGAGGTGAGTTTAATTTTCATTCATATCTCCCCTCCACCTCGGTATTTACAGCCTACAGAAAGAACAGTACATATTACTTCCATTTTGTGGTCATTTTTCTGGAAGTCACTATTATCATTAAAACATCCTATTAGGAGAAAATATTTGTTTCGTTTGCTTCTTCTGCACTCAGTTGTCTGGTTTCATTTGGGGGTGGAAAAAAGTGCAATTTCCATTGCTTTTTTAACTTTCCAATTTGTTTAAAATGTATTTTTAAATAATAACTCTATAATTCTTGGGAACTTGGGAAAACTGCATTTTTGGTCTATTTCTAAACTGGTAAATTCTACCATAGCAATCTGCTTTTAACATTTGTGTTTGAGTCTGTTATTAGCTTTAATGGTTGTAATAGTAGAATTAAAGAAAAAGTATTTGTAATACGTCCCATTGTGGATGAAATGCCTCTGTGTGGCCTTTACAAAGGCTTCTCATTAATTTTGCAGAAAGTATCATGTGTTCTTACTTTACTTAAATGATTTTGACCAATCCTTAAAAAAAAGTTTAGTGTCACTTCCATATCCACAGATTTCATGATTTCACTTGTCCACGTTCCATAATACATCTCCACTGCCCTGGATGTGTTTGTGCGCCTCTCTAGGTCCTCCAGTGAGATTTTATGGAAATCTTCTGACCTGAATATAGTAAAAATATAGGATTTTATACAACTTTTAATTCATCACCTGGTGTGTGTGTGTGTGCTGGAATGTATCCTATGAGGGTACAAGTTTTACACTATTTTACAGTGGTACTATTGCTTTCTCATGCCCCAAACTTAGATTTTCGAGAGAAAATCAATCTTTCTCTCAAAATCTCCCTTTAAATGTGTGCACTGTAAACAAAATGGAACTCCATAACAATTGAACTTAAAACACCTTGGAGATACTAATAATAGTTTTGGATTTTTCCAAATAAGCAGAGAGTGTTTGGTATTTATATGGTATCCTGAAACTGGATAGAAATCATAAACCCATGTAGTGAACCCCTGAAATCCACCATTTTTGAAAAATATGCTAAAAATGGTTTTCATCTGTGTAGTGTGTAGAATATGTAGAAGATAATTCAACTGGAGCATAGAAAGCAGAATATACATGCTTATAAATACAAAATGTCTGTAGGTATGAAACTTTTAGAAGTGGGACTGAACTAAAGGTTACCTTATGGATTGCATTTTTCTTCAGGACTCCGGCCAGACAGCTATGTGTTCTTCCAGGCTGCTTTATTTTGCTCTCTCAACTTTCAGAAATACTCATCTCTTTTGACTAGTTATAATGTCCAATCGATCAGTGAGCTGTTTTGAGTCCTCCCCATAGCACTCCTGAGGGAGGGGCACATTTGTAAAATATTTATTATTTTCTTTGGTAAACCTGACCTTTCTTCAAAAGTTTATTTATTGAGTATGCATGGTGCTGTTTTTTGCTTGGTTGAGAATTAGCCCTCAAAACTTAAGACCTAAGCAGGAGCACACCAGAAAGTTGTCTAGTCCAGTGATTTGTGGCAAACCAGTTGTCCATTGGATGCCCACAAACAGGTTATAGGTGAAAATGCAACCTTAAATTCACATTTGCTAAAGAATTTGTTCACTCTCACTGTCTAATTAATGATCTATGATTGTTTGGTCCTAGTTTGGTTTTTTGTTTCAAGCATCAGTTGGCATCTTAGAAGAGGCAATATTAGCTTCTCATCCCCCTCCCTCCCTATCATATAGTTTTCAGAAGATTACCATTTGTAAATCTATTATGTATGAATTGGCAAACATAAGAACATATAAGCCTAGCTGCTTTTGTCATTAAATATTATAACTTAAGTAGGTTTTATATAATGTTAAATGTTTTTGGTTTGGTCTGGTCTGGTCTAGGATAACATCATAATAAATGAACTAGAAATAAATGTATATCAGTTTTGTCCATGGTCTATCTTGTGCATTTTCTTGGGGAATTAATTTCTACAGAATTCTGATAATTCAATTTTCAGATGACAGAAAAAGAAAAACTGGAAGCTTTCATGGATAGGAATGTGTATTGACAAAGCAGAGAATAGAGAGAATTTATTAGAGTTCTTAAAGTTACTTGTACCACTTAAATTTTAATTGACAGTCTTACATTGGAATAACCACAGCTCAATTGTTTAATTATTTTTATTTATTAATTACAAATTAGAAATTGTATGTTTCATAGAATCATAGAGTTGGCAGAGACCTGTGGTCCATACAGTCCAACCCCCTGCCAAGAAGCAGGAAAATCACATTCAAAGCACTCCTGACATGATTTGGCCAAGTGTTTTCAGATTGAGGGTTTAATAAATTCAGTGGGACTCCATCAGTTAGTCTTGCTGTCGCCTTTGCTAATGCTAATGAAGAAATGTTAATAGAAACATAGAGTTGGAATAGACCACATGGGCCATCTAGTCCAACCCCCTGCCATGCAGGAAAAGCACATTCAAAGTACCCCTGACAGATGGCCATCCAGCCACTGCTTAAAAGCCTCCAAAGAAAGAGCCTCCATCACACTCCGGGGCAGAGAGTTCCACTGCTGAACAGCTCTCATAGTTCGGAAGTAATTCCTAATGTTCAGGTGGAATCTCCTTTCCTGTAGTTTGAAGCAAATAGAAGCCAACGAAGCTTCCGCTTGTTATCTATAAAATATTCTGAAGCTGTGGAATAGTCAGGGAGCAGATGCACCTTTGGTTCTCTACAGCAGGACTTCTTAAACCATTTCCATATGCATACCTTTTTGCCTGAGCAATTATATTATGACCCCTTTCCACCTGAGAAATTTTCATGTGAACCCAGGTGGATAATAGTTTTAAAAATCAAACATTTACTTATAATAAATCAGCATTTGCAAGACTTGCTAAACAGGCTGATTTTCCTTTTTAATGAAGTACAGCTGAAGCAATTTCTGCAGAGTTGATTATAAACACTGCATATTACTAACAGATTCATGTATATGTTTAGGTGGTATTCAGAAACCCTTTACTGCTGCCAAATATTTAGTGATCCCAAGCTAAGGGACCCCATTTGGCAAGACCCACAGTGTAAGAAGCAGTGCTCTAGAGAAGCAGTCTAGAGTCCAACTGCAAATTATCCCATTAGTTCTTTCAAAAAGCAATCTGATATTATAATACACGAAAGAACTTATCTGTGTGTTCTAGTGTTCATATGAAACATTGTTGTCTGAACTGTAGAGTCTTAAGGATAATTTGTTTTTCAGTTTATGACCTCATTATTTTCTTGTTCTCAAATGTCTCTTGCTATAACTGGCTCATACTTTCCTTTCCTGGAGCCTGCTTTGTTCCTTGCAGTGGTTCTCAATCTTTTGTTCTCCAGATGTGAACTTCAGTAGTTTGAGATTCTGGGAACTGAAGCAACAAACATCTGGAGGATGAAAAATCAGAGAACTGCTGCTTTCAAAAAGCTTCTGTCATCTTAGCTATGAAATGGGAGATTAGACATAAAGGAAATCAAAGCCACTTATTTCTACTAGATGTAGAATATGTTTTTTCTACATGGCTAGTTGCATCTATAGGGCTACAAGAGGTAAATAAGAGTTGCTTCATCCTTCAATTAAATACTATGACCATGCCTGATGATTATTTGTGCTTACTCTCTTTAAAAAAATGGACAGTTTTGAGACTGTGTTGCTGAAAGAACTTGTTTATGACTTGCATTAGTTACAAGGATTAAAACATTTAAAATTTCAGAAAAATTGAAAACATTGTTTTCTCTCCTTTTAAAAACATTTTAATAAATAAATATTTGAATACATAAATGACTTTGTGATACATGCTGGTAGTTCAGAACAGTACTGAAATTATATGAGGAGAAAACGTTTCCATAATCAACCCTATGAGCTTTTCATAAAACCCATGCTTGTTTGGAGCCTTCTAAGAAATGGTTATGGGAAGAACTCAAAACGCTGGTGGGCTGGACTTCTTGTACATTAGTACAGAGAGACAAACATTTTAATGTGCATATATAGACATTTGCATGAAATACCTGAAAATAAAACTGGAGAAGAGGAGGCAATGTACCGTATATGTAAGCCCCATCCCTCAGGTATTAGAACAATGTTTGACTGTCATTTGTTGTTTACAAACAGCTGAAAAATACTTTGTAACCACTTTGGAACTCAAGTTGACTAAACACATTTACAAAGTTCCCATTGTATACCTTCTATTTTGAGTCCTACAGGCAATGACTCTATTTAGGCATAAGCCTTAATGAAGCTAGAGACATACCTGTATCTAAAGTTGGGTGGAATATATCTCCATTATGATTAGTACCCATTGCTTAATTTTAGAATAGTCTCAAGAAATGCTACCATTATGTTAGATAAAATACAGCAGATTACTAAAGGCATTTAGAAACAAAGATGGTGTAATTTCAATTGCATGGTTTTTGTGGTATGATAAATTAATCCTGTACTAATCTGTTTGGCTGTTCTAGAGAAATTCATACAGGTGATGCAAGCATTCTATTCAACATATTATGAGTCTTGAGGATGCAAAATTGTGTTCATTCATAAGCTATTTGAAAAAAGATGATTTTTTTAATCTTCTGCAGTACAAACAAAAATCTGGTAATACTGCACCAAATAACATTTTGTGTTACTGTTGAGTGGTTGTGCTTTGTTTAAATGTGATCATTTTTTTAAAAAAACTTTTTATTAATTGGATGATAAAATACAGAAACAAACATGTGCAAAAACATAAAATATTTAAAAAGTTGCAATTCCTACAATAACATGCATCTTCACCTGTCCATCTCTACTCCCAAATATACAACTTTGATTATGGCTATTTGACAATTAAAATATTTACCACTTTCTATGTGTAATGGAAAACATTGTGTTAATTCAAGGAGAGGAGGCTCACCAAGCTGGAACTCTGCACATCTGGTCATGCGTCTTGCTTGTAGTAGTATGAGTACTTCCCATTTATTTCTTTTTACCCATTTATGCTTTGTGGGATACTGAACCCAAGGAACATTACTGAACGAAAGAGGAAACCCAAATTCTCCAGGGAGGAATTGGACATTCTGGTCACTGAAGTGACATGGAACGAAGCCAGGCTGTTTGGAAGGGAGACAATACGTCTATCCCATACAGACAGGGAAAAGATCTGGGAAGGTATAGCCAGAAAGATCACATCGGTGAGCCGAGTCCCCAGGTCTGTGAAAGATATTAAGCATAGATGGGATGACATGAAGAGAAGGACCAAAGACAAACTGGCGTTTATGCAGAGGTCCCTCTCCAGTCCCAGCAGCCTGGGGAGGCCCTCGGCCATTGTCCTGACCGCCCACGAGAGAGCCATCAAGTCGACACTGCATTCATCACACCACATACGCGGCTTCCGGAGAGCGGATCTGGACGTGGTTGACAGCCCATCAACCAGCTGTAAGTATTACAACCTCCTGGCACAAAAGTGAAGCTATATTATCTGCTTCATCTTTCCCGTTCCACTTGATCTTTCTACCCTGTTGCCATCCCAATTCTTATTTTCTAAACAGATAGTATTCCAGTGTATTGTGACTAAAGTATGAGTTATGATTCTCTGGCCAGATTATCACGAAGTATTAATATTATGAACACTTCTAGTTGTAAACAACAAATATGTTTAAAAACTTACGGATTATAACATACAGAAGGAAAACCAAAAGAGTGGTCATTCTTTACCATTAAGAAGTTCAGTATGTGAACCATGAGCGATTAGTCAAGGAACACATAAGTGTGGAAATGTTTACAATTGGATCATTACTGTGCAAAGGGGAAACCACATGAGTTGTCTGTATTTCACATAATTTGTAGTGGTGCCAGCTTTGATCTTTCAAGACATTGGCATAGAACATACAGGTGAACGTACCCAGTTTACATGGTAGTTCCTATGCCTGTGTCTAATCTCCCATCAAGAATTTTCATATTAATAAACGTGTGAATGAATATGTAATGTGTTAAAGGTAATCCTAGATTCAGAGCACCATATTCACAATATTTAGGTATTGAATCCAGGCTGGGAAGGTTAGAGTAGATTTATGAGTGTGTTATTTTAATCCTTGTGCCAATAGGACTGCTGACTGATAGGTCAGCGGTTCGAATCAGGGGAGAGCAGGTTGAGCTCCCTCTGTCAGCTCCAGCTCCCCATGTGGTGATGTGAGAGAAGCCTCCCCCAAGGGTGAAGCCTCCCCCAAGAGTGGTAAAACATCAAACATGGGGGTGTCCTCTGAGCAACATCCTTGCAGACAGCCCATTCTCTTTCACCAGAAGCAACTTGCAGTTTCTCAAGATGCTCCTGACACGAAAAAAAAATTCCTATTGATTTCAATGCATCTTTTCAAAGTATGATTAAATCTAGATCTAGCCCTATACTATCGAGAGCAAACACCAAGCATGCAAAGGCCTACAGCAACTAATACACTTCTGGTGCATTGTATTAAGCAGTTAATATAGGCTGGATCTATTCTACAACTTATTATTTATTTATTTATTTATTTAGGTAATTTTTATCCCACCTTTTCCTCACTGAAGGGCCCAAGGCGGCTAACAGCATTTATAAAATACAAACAATACAAACATTAAAAACAGTACATAATAAAACCAAGTATTTGACAGTGCTGAAAAACATTTAAACCTATATATTAGCATAAAATGCCTTAGGGTCATCCTGAAACAACATTACACAGCAACAGCAATCTTAATTAACTATTAAATTATACCTTACCTGGAAAGTTTGGGGCTAAAAACCTATTATGACCCCCAGAGGCTTAGCCTATTTAATTTCGACCCGTTACTACTCCCAAGTTGTGCAGGCCTGCTGTACACCCATGTAATGCAGTTCAGTGCAATTCAACATGCATTCTTTGGCAGCATAGATCTAGCCTTAGTAGACCAAATCTGGGGGCAGGTTTTTGGTGTATGTAGATTATACTCTAAATAAGACCTTTTGGTGTTCACCTTCCAGAGGTATGACAGTAGTAGTATAGGCTAGGATGGGAGGTCATATAGCCACAGGCCCCCAGTCCTGGTCCAGGCTTCAATTAGGTACAGTAAGGATTGATATTACAATATGAGTAAGCAAACAGGTCTACGGTCTTTTTAGATCATACCTCATTCTAGCCTGGACTACTCATCATTTCACAGTATATGTTAAACAGAATTCTTGCACTTAACCCACTAGTAAAGTATGACCAAGTCCCTCTTCAACCGTTTTGATATTCAGTATTCATGTGATTACTCTTCTTGGTTGTATTCGATGGAAAATAAAAAAGCTACAGAGACTAACTTTAGGAAAGAATGCTGTGGTGTGTATGAAATGGGCTTGTACATACAGCCATTCTTGAGGGATTAGTGTCATTATAGCAAGCTGATTTTATACAGACTTAGTCTATCTGTTGAGTCCTGTCTACTGCAGCTTGTTAGAAACATCAGTCACATGCATTCCTAACATTATTAGGTGATGCTTGAGACGTTTGCCATGCAAAGCGTGAACTCCATCATTGATCTGTGGGCTGCTTTAGGATCTCTGAACTACTAAAAAATGGCAAATACTGCTTAAGGGTGCAACTTCCTTCAGTAGGAAAGATAAACAAAAAAAGTGATTGCTGCTGACCCTGAAGCTCCTGGAACCTCATTCTTGCAATCATGTGCTAACAGTTATGGATGTTTTTGTGAGGAGTATTCTTCAGAGACTTCATTTGCAGAAAGTGCATTATTTTGGTTTCTCTTAATAATGAGAACAGAAAGTTGCCTTGCATCTAGTGGTATAAAAGCAGTAATACACAATCACTTAGTTAATTAAAGTAAAAGACTTTGTGAAGACTGAAAAAGATTCTGAAGTACCATAATAGTATTCTAGAAATGAACACGATCTAACATTATCTAATAGACAATTTTTCTAGAATATTTCTATTCAAAGTGACAGTCCATGGATCAGCCATTGGCAGCCAATCATTGGCAAGTTTACAGGAAATAAAGCAGTTGTGCCAAAGGGATAAAATTTAGTGCTGGCCCATAGGAAATTAGAAACTGTGGCTTCTCCCAAGAAGCACAATTCTAGAGATCTTTATTATATCCACTGATGCTGCCTAGCCTTTATTATTTTTCCTTTGTTAGTATGGCCCAACTAAACTGACTTCTCATCTTTAATTCCTGATTACATCGCCTGCTCTTCCAGGTCAATTCTCTCATGGTTTATTAAACTGTATTTCTTAAAAACCAAACACTATATTAACACGAGAGGTTATACTTACTAGAATCTGCAAAAAAAAAAAAAAACCAACAAACAAAAAACTATTGTGTTTTACTAAAATCTCAAGCTTAATCTTGGACTTACTTGAAGGTCTTGAAACAACAATTGTTTAAATAATGCCTTCGTGCAAGTAATTTGGTATTCTTGTGTTTTTCCCCAAGGCGTTGAAGCTGAGGAAGTCCCAGGCCCTTCGTGTCAACATGGCTTTTCATCACTACAGAAGGAAACAGGAAAAAACGATCATCTCTCCATACCATCTTTTCTTAATTCCTCATCTCTATTGGATCACTCTGCTTTTATTAGTCAAAGGCAAAAATCAAAGCACCCAAATTCATGTTTCCCTTCCACCAGTAGGCCTTCTCAGCCATATGCTCATAGTCCACCTTTCTGTGGCTTTGGTGATCAGCTGCTTGACACCCATCTGCCAAAGAATGACTTATTCAGACAGTTTTGTCACGAGTTGGTAGCAATCCACAGAAACATGGCAAATAGCATGCATGTAATCAGCCAGAATGTGTCTGATCTAACTGGACAGGTTATCCAGATGTGCCAGACCTTGACTAAAATGAAGAGTGAGCTTCAAAATGTGCACAGTGGTCAGGTCTCTAACAGTAGGCAGGGGGCTAACCAGCAGACTACAGCATCAGAAAGCCCTTCTGAACTTAAGGTAGTGCTTAACCAAAGTTATCCCAAGCAAACTCCTCTTGTTCGGACTACTAGGTCACGAAAGAGAAAGCACCATTGCTAGTGCCCTTAACATTAACCCGAAACAACATTAACTGCTGTTGCATTAAGAAATGCTATTGAGTATGATTATTGGGAAAGTCCGTCAGAGTTCCCTTTAAGAGTGATATAAATTATGGCACCTCAAAAGTAGGCTTGAAAATATAGTGCCTAACGTGTCGAACATGCTTTGGAAATAAATTAATAATAAATAATGAAATTTGAGGGCCGCAGATGGTTCTCCCTCAATACAAAACCTAGGCGCATACAGATTGGTTTCCTTGGCCTTATGATTTATTGCACTTAAAATAATTGTGCAATTTACGAAATGTATTTTTCTCCCTATCTCTGGTCAGCCTTTCACTCCATTTACTATCTTCCCACAACAGAGTCTCTCCTTCTTCTACCAGATCTTAAACCTCTTTTCCAACAATGTACATCTCTCATTTGCCTTCTGCTGCCAGATTTTAAAGTCCTTTCCCAATAATTCACATTTTCCCCACTCTCTTTCTGCTGTCAGATTATAAACCCTTTTAATGCACGTCTTTCCCATTCTTTTTCTGCTGCCAAATTTTAAACCCCTTTCCTTCCAATAAGGAGTTTAAAAACTGTCTTGAGTCTTTGTAGTGGGAAAGTGGGAAAATGAATGATGGGCTGGGGCTTTTGATTGGAAAGGAATTTGTAGCATATATAGTTTTGAGGGAGGGGCTTATGATGTTTACCATTTTTTCACTTTTGCACTTTGGGAGAACCTAACCTCATTGAATGTGGAAGGCCAACTATATAAAAAATATTTGTTAAAAAACAAGCAAATGGCCTCTTACTGAATTTCCTATATATACGTTCTCAGGTGTTAAAGTCATAGAAAAATATTCATTTCAGGTAATATACTATTGTAATACATTAAAATAAGTCCAAATAACACTTCCTGAAAATCGGTTGCATTGAAATCATGTATTTAACCTGTAACAACGCGTCTTCAAGAAGGGTTGGCCCTGGACAGCCTTTTTTTATATAACTGCAATTTTTCAAGACAATATTACTGCAGTATATCTACTGTCTATAGCAGTGGTTCTCAACCTGTGCGTCCCAGGTGTTTTGGCCTACAACTCCCAGAAACCCCAGCCAGTTTACCATCTGTTAGGATTTCTTGGAGTTGAAGGCCAAAACATCTGGGGACCCACAGGTTGAGAACCACTGCTGTACTGTATCAAAAACTTCCTGTGAGAACTGTGGAATGAGTTGTTTTTGCAAAAGCAGCGGAAGCAATCTCAAACATTGCTTTTGTAACACCAGTTTTGCCCTCCTGATGTCTTCGGAATGGCTGTTTTATTTATAATGGCAGTTATATTAGATGCAATTCTGTCTTTGTGATAGCACAGATTTGCTTGTTTTCTTTACTATTTAAGATAGTGACAAGCAAATGGAGATAAAAGTTTTCACTTATCACCCCAAAGTGATATGTGGAAACTCTCAAATCCATCTCCAGTGTATCTCAGCTGGGCCTCTATGGACATTTTGAATCAAATAACCATTACATTTCTTTAAAGTGTAGAATACTTGATCTGCAGGTGCACCATACCTGCACCTCTTCTGCTACTACATGTAAAATATAATTCACCACAAAAATCATATAAAATGATAATGCCCTTAAAGGACAACTGCAGAAAAGCATAGTCTTTAAAGCCCTGTTTGTAGCAAGCATAAGATAAACATAGTGAGACTGTGACCAGACTGACTTTACACGCATTATCACAGAGGAAGCTTTTTGACATCAAAGAGGAATCCGTGTGACCTAAGATACATATCAAGATTGTATGATTTAACCCCATTAAGCATTTATATAGATTTTGATCCAGGTATAGCATGAGCTAATTGCAAGTTAATGTGAAGTAAATAATGAAGGTCTTATGCTTGAGGCATTCCACCTCCAAAGTAAAGCAATTAGGCTGTTAGCTTCACAAAACTTCATTTTGCTAATTAACTCTGAAAAGTATACATTTTAATGATACATGGATTGAATAAAGCAAGTGCCATTATTAACTCACCACTGATGTCTTGAGTCGCCCCACCAAGATTTATTTGCATGTTAAACTTTTGTCGAGTGAAGTGGGTTATACATTCCACAATTAAAAAATTTATGTGGTATATGAAATGCTTTTTTGTATCACCCCACTAGGAACCTTTCGTTTTATGTGATGGTTTAAAAATATGGCATATTATAAATGCCCTGATTATATTGCTGTGCTTGACTTGGTGCTATTTAAATATGGTGGAAATATATCTTTATGGCTACTTTTGCTAACAATAAATGTGTAATGCTTACATCTCAGACTCTTTGTTGGTCATATTTTATTTTTTCCATGTGTCCGCCTTGAAGTTTTGCTTAAACAAAATCAGACATGTAATAACTTTGACAATTATTTCTCTGCTCATCAAATTAACACAAGTGACACTTCTTTGGCATTAAATAATTTTCAGGAAAAATAGGTAAGTATATGCAATGACAAGACCTTGCGTGTTGGACTACAGCCCTGGGGGGCAAAGTTCAAATCCTTGTTTGGCCATGGAAACACACTGGGTGATCTTGAGCAAGTCATCACACACTCTCAGTCTGAGAGAAAGGCAAAGACAAACTACCCTCTGGACAAATATTGTGAAGGAAACCTTGTAATACGTTTCCCTTTAGGTTGTTATAAGTCTGAAATGACCTGAAGACACACAACAACAACACAATATACTCAATGAGGAATTTATGTCAGTTTGTATTGAACACTTTTCTGAAGCAGGTTTTGGGGATGTGCCACGTATACATGACTAGATATTTAAAATTCTTTGAAAATGTTTGAGTTTTGAGAGTTTTCACTCAGTTGATAAAACACTCAACCCATTGTCTGGTTGCCTTCATTCTGTTCTTGCAATCGATGGCAATGAAGCTGGGTGAGAAAACTAAACTACACATTCAAAAGCAGCTATGTTCTTTGTGCCTGGCGTGCCCATACACTTCTTCCAATATTTGTAAGGTACCAAGTTGAAGGAGTTAGTGAACACAGTTTCCATGATCAGTAGATAATTAAGTTTGATTAATTAAATCCAATCCGTATATGCATAATCTTAAGTGATTATATTCATTTTGTGTATGGCAAGTTCTAAACTGTTCTAGCTCTCTCTTGCTTGTTACATAAATATGGCTCAAAAGTTGTAGTAGCTACTTTGGAAACTTTTTTCCCCCAGCATTGTGATTAATTATTTCTGCCACCAAAAATGTAAATTATAATGCAAACTTTGGTATTAGGTTTGACCTAATGCACTTTGATTAAAAATATGTTTGCAGAAATGAAAGTTTCAGAGCAAAAATATGATAAATTACATTGTGGGTAAAAGTTAATACCATTCCAGCTGTTAAAATTTATTCCCAGGAGCTGCTCCTGCTTTCGCAGAAGTAATACAGCATAACCTCTGCTCCTCTCTTATTTGGTTATGTACACAAATGTGCAATCCTCATTAATTTCAATTAAATCTGCAGAAGACCTCTCTTAAATTCCTGAAACACTCCCTTGCTCTGCCAGTCTCTTTTATTTATTACGTAAAAATAGAATGTTTGAGAGTTTGTAATGTTTCATTTGTAATTAACTTTTCCAACCTTCTGGATGTTTTAAGCATTTAGATTACAAAAATGCAAATACCTGAAAATGTCATGATGAACCAGAGCAGAGGAGGGGAACCCCTGGCCACTGGGTACACTTCAGTCATTCGCCATCCAGCTTGTAGTTTTCTGTCTTGTCATCCATCTGTGATCAGCTTTAACTGTACAAAGATTTTGCAGTGAAATGAGTTCTCATCTCCTGAAATGGATGGTTTTGCCTTAAGCAGCTTTGTTTTTTTTTTTTTTTCTGGAATGTTTTGCTAGAAACAGGAGCTCTGTTTTTTCAGACTGACAACATTCTGCATAGAACAGGAATACTGGTTCACAAACTGGCAAGGTTGTATGCTTTAAGGCTATTGCATTGGAGCAAATTGGGAAAATTGACAGCATGCTGCAGAGTTCCCTGCTCCTCAGTTGGAAGAAACTTCATTAGCAAGTTAGCTTAAAGAGAAGCCTATGCTTCAGAATAACCATGATCCAGCAATTCTATCTTCCATGACTGCTAACTTCAATTTCTCATTCCCTTCATTTGTAATAATGGAAGCCAGGCTGTCACTAGGAAGACTCAAGATCAAATTTGTATTCAGCCATTGAGCTCATTTGGCTACAAGGAGCCAGTTAGCTACTGCAGAGTTTTCCTACATTAGAGGATGTTTGTGAGAAAAAAATAAGTAGCTGTAAGCCATTTAGAGTGGTGTCCTAGCACTAAGGGCTGCTATGTATGCTTTTCTATAAGTAACACATTGTATCTTTGAGATCCTTGAAATATGACAAACTGTGTAATAAGAATTTATTGTACATATCTAAACATCGTTATCAGCGAGGCATAGGGATTTAAGCAATGGATTATGTCTCAGGAGACCAGGATTTAAGGTCCTGGTGGGCCATGGAAACCACATGGGAACCTTCAGCAAGCCAGTCTCAGAAGAGGGCAAAGGCAAACCTCTGACCAGAACATCCCTAGAAAATGTTATAATAGGTTCATCCAACTTGAAGGAACACAGCAATCAATCTCGTATTTAATTTTTGGGTTAGTGAATGTAAAGATAACTGATTTTCTGAAGGTATGGGAGTGATACTAATTTTGTGAAAACTTATGTTTCACTGGGTGGGTACTCCTGCCATTCATTTTACACTGGTATTATGGCAGCACATGACTGGTTGAGAACTGCTTTTACTCCTTGTACATCCAGCTCTATCCACAGCTGCATCCTTCTGTTGGATGCATCAGATGGTACAGGAAGAAAGAGAAATGACTGAGGAAAATCAACAATGCTTCCCCCCTTTTTTCTTTCCTTTTCCTTTTCTAATGCTTGAGGGTTTGTCTCTCCCAAACACTTCATGAAGGGGTGTGTGTGGTCAAAATGGCTTATTTACAGCAGCAATTCCCTTCAGTGGTCCATTAAAAAAGCACCTTTGGCTCAAAGAGTGAGATGGCGAGAGAAGTCCCTGGGAGGGGGTGGGGGGCATTCATTGTATTTTAAACCACTGTAAACTTTTTACAAATAGGTATACACTTTTTTGTTGGTTATATATTCTTCAGGTATCAATGGCAATTAAGTCTCTTCCCAAGCAGAAACAACAGGCCTAGATGAGATTTAAGAAATCTTTTAACATTCCTGAGGTGTGCATGTTATTTTCTCGTAGCTCTGTCAGTTTGCATGTCATTATTCATGCCATCCAACACTTCTGCATCTGTGGCTTCCTTTGAAGGTCACCCCTGCTGCGACTGTGGCTGAGGTTTGTGTAATTTCGATTAAACCTTGCTAGTGAGTCAATGCCTGCCTCGTCCTTGTCCTCAGGTATGTGGCCATCTCCCGAGAGGAGAGAGAACAGAACCTGATGGCCTTCCAGCACAGTGAGAGGATTTACTTCCGAACCTGTCGGGACATCAGGCCAGGGGAGAGACTGAGGGTCTGGTACAGTGAAGATTATATGAAGAGGTTGCACAGCATGTCTCAGGAGACCATCAACAGAAACCTCACAAGAGGTGGGTGTTTTTATCCCTTTCTTCACTGCTTAAAAAACCATCTGGGTATGCTTATAAGATAGGCATGCAGCGATCTTTTTGAAAACTACATACACCAAAGAGGCTTTTGATTTTTAAAAAATCTGGTATCATCAAGCATATATTTTGATTGAAGCAAATGTAAAAGTAATGGTAGTTAATGTGTGAATAGATGTGTCTGAACAAGTGTCTTTTAATAGCAACCAGGAGACAGACCGCCTCAAAAGAAGTGTCCCTTGATTCACTGGATTTCTGTCTCATGATACATTCTATGTCAGACTTGTCTCATTGCAAAAGACTGGTCCTGAATACTTCATATTAAGCATGATATACTAGTGGAAAACGTTTTTTAAAAAATGTTACCGTGTGACAAAGAGGAACAGACAAAAATGTGTATCAGGACTCTGGTCAGGTCCATATAATAAATACAGCAAGGTGTGTAGATAATCATAGCTGAGATCTGGAGTGAGGAGAGGGTCAATCCAGGGTTTTCTATCACTGATAAAGACTCCAGGCATTCTTAAAATAATGTCTGTGTATTCAGGAGGAATAACAGACTACTCCACAAATATATCTATGTCCACTAGCCTTAGGATACCACCTCAGGAACAGCTCTCTTTTTTCCCATGGTCAAGCAAGGGCCAGTGTGCAAGAATCACTTTAGATGTGTTTTTCCCAGTCTGCAGGAAATCCAGCAATTACCAATATTGGCAAGAGAGAGAAATGTAGATGAACAAAGTTAAACTGCAGAGTTTCCATCCTCCTCTGATTGCTTCATCCACACACTGGGTATTTCCACACGTGCAAAACATGTTGCACTAGAACTGTAAAAATGTCATGTACAAATTGTTCCTGAAATATGAAACAGTATTTGAAAATGCACTTGAGAGCACTACTGAGTTGCAAATCTGTTGGACTGTCTTTCCATAGGAAACGTGTCCACTCAGTAGTTTGAATGGTGTAAACGGTTAAGACAATTCATTTTAAAAGAATCAACTACTTTTATGTATTAACCATCTTAAGCAGGATTGTAGCTGAATGGGAGTAGCATCTCATTAAGATCCCAGGTTCCAACTCTGATGTTATCCATCAATTAAAAAGATTTATTATTATTATTATTATTATTATTATTATTATTATTATTATTAACTTTATTTGTACCCCGCTAGCATCTCCCGAAGGACTCGATGCGGCTTACAAAGGCCAAGGCCTCCAAACATAACATAACAATACACAATCTAAAGCCAATCAAAAACAGTTAAAGCAATATTAAAAGATTTCTAGCAAGATAGTTGAGATGCTCATGTGGTTGATATCCTAGAAGTCTGTTACCAGTGAACTTTGAACTTAAGCAGGTGTATGATATCACTCAGCATAAAGCAATGTGTTATGGTCTAAGGCCCATATCTGCATTGAGCCTAGATCTACCACTATATTAGAAGTGCAGGAAGCAAATAGTGGTTGAAAAGGTACAATTTGGCACATGTATTCTCTACACTGATTCTGCTATTTGGTTGGGGCCATCCACATTTTTGCTTGTGGGATATGCTGCAGTACTTCTGAAGCTAGAATTATTTCTACATGCATAAAAATTACTCTTTCAGTGTTTGCTTCATAATAGCAGAATATCTTGAACCAATTATCACAAAATAGTAATTCTGGCGCCGGCATCCTGGAAATTGTTGCAATTCATTTGATGAAAGGCAATGTATATATTCTGGAACTCTACGGTCTTATCGCACATAAGCAGATTGGTAGAAGCTGTGATGATAAAATGAAAGAGCAAATGGATAATGGAGGTTTCTCACTTCTTTACAATGTTAGACAATGTTGAGTCACAATATAATTTAGAGAAAATTCAGTTCAGAATAAAGAAAATGCTGTTTTACAGATAAACAGTTCTTATGAAACTTGATGCAACAAGATATGATCATAAAACCAGGCTTAGTTAGTTCTGGAAACTTGCTTAAGGAGCTGGGTATGTTTAGAATTGAAGGTTAAGAGGTGACACAATAGCCATGTTTAAATATTTGAAATGATGTCATGCTGAATACAGAGCCATCTAAGCACTGGGAAGAATTTCCTGATAGTAGGATCTATTCAGCAATAAATATGCTACCTTGGAGTGAGATAGAGCCCTCTATAAAGAGTGCTTTGATTGTGTATTCCTGCATTGCAGAGGGTTGGACTGGATAGCCCTTGTGGTCTTTTCCAACTCTACATGTCTATAATCTGGTTTCTACAGGAGCTTAGTAGAATTCTGGGTGAATCTCTCTCTCTCTCTCCCTCCCCCCCTCCCCCTCCCTCCCTCCCTCCCTCCCTCCCTTCCTTTCTTTCTTTCCTACATTTATATGCCACCCTTCTCACCCCAAAGGGGACTCAGAGCGGCTTTATGCCCTGAATTCTAAAGTAGAGGATATCCTTTGCAGTGTGTGTAAGCTTTTATGCTAATACAGAAAATACAGAAAACAGAAAATACTGCTGATAACCCCATTTTTAAGGCTTTAGCTTTATTGGGTGTTTTTCTGACCCATACCTTCTCTCAGCAGGAACAAGTAATCTTCCCTTTTTTTGTTCCTGATTTCTCTCTGTGTCATTTAGTTATGCCTTAGCCAAGGAACACTGAGGTTATACCTCAGAGGTGAATCTTAGACCTCTCTGTGTTAAAAGAATTAACCCACCCTTTAAAAACATATTCAGATTAAAGCAGGTTTTGGTTGACAGGCTGGCTCTCTGTTTTGCTTCACTGAAATATATTGGCGGGACCATAGATTTGTCTTTTCCCTGCCCTTTTGCAGTAGCATGTCCACAAAAAGGTGGTCTAGTTGTAGCCTTCTAGAAGTTGCTGGACTGCAATGTCACCAGTCCTATTCAGCATGGCCACTGATAAGGGATGATGGGAAGTTCAGTTTGACAACATCCAGAAAGCTAGATGTTGCACAATTCTCGAATCATCTTTTGAAATGTATATTTGCAAAGAAATGGGAGGATATCTTTGGATGGGTAAATGATGCGGTAAAGAAATATTACTCAGAATGCGTGAAACTGGTTGTATCGCTTTTGTGGTTTTCTATTACCTAGTAGTGAATTCCAAGAGTTCCTCTTTTGGCAGAAAAGAAAACTCATTGGAATAATTAAGAGCCATCATTGATATATGCAAGTGCTATTTTGATGCTTTGACTTGGTAAAAGATATATTTTTTTAAATGGGATTCTTCTCAGACTCACTGTTATTTGTGTATGTGTATGATAATAGCAAGTATGTGCACCAAACATGATATGAAGCCAATACGTCCTTACTACAGTTTTTTTTTTCTTAAGGATCAGTTTTCTTTTTAATTGACCAAATAGAAAGCTTGGGCCATTAAAAACTGCTAAAAACAAAGGATGTGAATGTATTTTTAGAGAAGTTGTACTTAACATTTGGTCCTCTGGGTGATTTAAACTTCCCAAAATGTTCACATGTATTTTTCACACTCACAGATGCTGCAAACCTCTTTTTTTAGTTGAAAACTTGAATAGAATCCAATGTGTTAACTACAGTGCGACCTCAGTGTCCATGGGACAAGTAATTATGGTTTAATTTTTTCACATCCCACAAATATATGTCTTCTGTAGACATTTTCAAAATCCTCTGATATGACTCTATGGTATTTGTGGGCTAGAAATCCTTCATTTCAATAGGGATTGTTAGATATGGTTTTGTGTACTCACTGAAGTTCAGGAACAAATACTTCATGGATATGGAGGGCCTTCCTGTACCCTATCACATTGTATTAGAGCATTAACCAAAATAAATTTTAAAAGAAAATGCTGTTCAAATCTAGGCCTTTAATCAGTGTTATGCCCTAATAGTAGCTAGCAGACATGGGCTTAGTTACTGTTTCATCCGTTTCATTCGTGTTTTCGTACCATTTTGTTTATTCGGAATTCATGAATGGTACACCCCCCTCTGGTATGGAAACACCAGTGAAAAGAATAAAAAGTGGGAATTTCAAGGAGAGTGCATCTGGCAAGCAGGCCCTGAAGCGGAGTGCCAAGCCCTGAAGATGCACTGTGTCCACACACGCTGCTGGAGTTACAGTAAGGTTGTGTGTCCCCCGTCCCCCCCCCCCCCCCCCCCCCCCCCCGATGCTTTACACAGTTAAGGGGGGAGAAGAGAGATGTGCCTGTGCCTCCCAGAGCCTGCAGCCCTGGCAGGCATGAAATATTCATATATTTTTTGAATTTTTCCAAAAATACCCATTTATGTAGGCACCCAATTTCAGAAGTGGGGCCCGAAAATGAAAATGGGGGCATACGAATGAAACACACAGAAACGGATAGAAATTCCATACAAATGCACAAGTCTAGTAGTTAGCGGTATGGAACTGACTTTTTATATTGCTGTAGTAGGATTTCAAGACTGCCATCCTAATAGATCAGTACTTGTAATGGGACTGTGTAAGTATACAAGCATAGTGTCACAAGCCCCAATGCTCTTTCCCTTCCACCAACTAGTTGCTGTTTCTCCCCCATCACCTACCTAGCACCCCCCCCCACCCCTAAATGCACCCAGCTACCTTGAAGCTGAGTGATCTTTCCCTTTCCTTACTCACAGTCATGTTCTTTCTCTTCCTTCATCTGCTCCATCCAGGTTCAGTTTCTTTCTGTTACTTGCACTCTTTTCGTTCTGAATAGTCTATTTCTAACATGAGGTCCAGTCATATTTTCCTGCTGCTCACTTTTCTCCACCTCTCCTTTACCAGGAAACAGAATCTTCTCCCTCCCTCCCTCTCTCTCTCTCTCAATCCTTTTTTTTTTTTTTTTTTGAATGATTTGGGAAAACATCAATCATAGCTGGTGCGGTGCTTCCCCTGCCTGGAGGCCCTATGGAGAAAAGAATATGTGAGTCTAGACTGCATGGTTAAAAATCTGTCACCAAGTTGCTGAAGATGATATGACAGGCTAAATTAATTAAAATTAATTCCTTTCATGACCAAAATAACTATAAGATGCAAACCCTCAGAACTCTTAGCTTAATGCTAAAATTTAGGAGTATAGGTTTTGTATTGTATCTAAGCAATTGTAGAGGCTCACACCTTTCTTAGTCTAGATTGCAAGCAGAAGATATTGTTACAATTGTTCAGAATTAATGGTGCCTGAATGTAGAATATTTATTTATTTACAATATTTATATACCACTTTTCTCACCCCTGGGAGGACTCAAAGCAGTTTACAACAAATAATGAAAAAATTCAATGCCTTACATACATAAAAACCAAATCTAAACAAAACATATAACTATGCATACATTCAATAAGACAATTAAGCCTAAGATAAGAGAATATTTAAACATGAAAATATAAAAATTAAAAAACACCTAATAAAACATTAAAATAAAGTGTTATAAAATCATATGATCCAAACTCGTAGACCGGGCCATTCCAAATGTCGATTGCACATATTCCATATTTACTTCTATCACATTTATGATACTGCACAAGTGTGTTTTAAAATGAAACATTTGCAAAGAACGAGATAAAAACTTTGTTTGGAAAGCAACCATGTTTCTGGATGTTTGGAGTAATTAACAAGACAGAAGAAAGATGGAAATTGAGCCAAACCCAACATCTTTTGAATTTCCAGGTAAGGATATTTGGCTATTTCCATTGTTCTGTGTAATAGCTAGTATATTTTTAAAATAGTTTTTAACAGAGGAAATAACATTTAGCAATCTAGTGGAACTAGAAGCAGAACCCAATTTTGGAATTCACCAAGTTCCATTTCAGTTTGCTAACACATAAAATGGGAAATGAGATTGTAATTTCCTTGTTTTCTCACGTCTCACATCACTGTGGGCAAGAATGAAAAGCTCTTTCATCTGTATTGTTTTCACATTGGAATCTGTGAGTTTGTATACCATTTGCCTGATAACTTTTACCAAGTCAAAGCTACTACTACATTTTCTTCAAACTAACATATTGATCGTTTTAGTTTCATTCTTGAAGCTACCTGTTATATTAAACAGCTGCCTATAGTCTGTCTTCTCTCAAATGTCTGAGGCCAAATATTATATGGCTATCTAGATATTGCTTGACTTTTTGAGAAAAATCTTCTCCACATTTAGTTTCTGAAGTGTTATTCCAGTAAGTATCCTTAGCATTAATTATTCATGTAAGTGAAAATACCCCAAAAAATTCTAATCACTTATTTGGGATATGAACTGTTCCACAGTTCCCACTGATAATCACAATTCCTAATTTGTCTTTCTAGGGGATAAAAAATCACTAAGGGAAAGATCTGAAAGAAACACAGAAAATCAAATGGAAATGATCTATCCCCTCGAGCTCACAATATCAAAGCAAGGGAAGAGTCCCTACAAACGCTGCTTTGAAGAAGGTGTATCTCAACCTCAAGCAAAGAAAAAGAAAATAGATCTCATCTTCAAAGATGTCCTAGAAGCATCTCTAGAGTCAACTAAGATGGAAGAACATAAGGTCACAAGAAATTCTGCTCCTTCCACTAGAAAGTCTTCTAGATTCCGAGAGCAAAATGCCTCAGAGAGCTGTGAAACTGGTATGCAACACAGTTCTCCAAATCACAGTGGGAGCAGAAATGAAGATGAGTGGAAGGTCCCCCATGGCCCCTCTTTCTCTGTGTCCAAAGAAACTGGCCTACTGGAAGATGAAGGTGATGAACCGTTGTCATTTAAATTGAATAGCCCCACTGATCTCACTCTGGCACCAATTGACGATGAAGCCCTTGGCCTCCCAACAACTTCATTATGTCCCAACTGCATACGGTTAAAGAAAAAGATTCGTGAGTTGCAGGCTGAACTAAATATGTTAAGATCTGGCAAGTTAGTGGAACCGCCTTTACTACCTCCACAGGTACCTGAGTACCAAGCATTTTCATATCCCACAGGTAGGTTGCACATAATAAAAGTATCCTGCAAATTCTGTATAAGGAGAGAGTCCTTTTTGCCATTAATGTCTAAACAATGTCAAGCTCTTACTGTTCTGAGAAGCATCTTTACTCAGTGTGGTCTCATGGTTGGGCCTCTGGAACAGGAACACAGTCCTGTAAAACAACTAATTCTGAGTTTCTGTCTGTAATGATGAAACACTATTATTTCTTTTTACTGTAATCTGTGCATTTTCAATAAAAAAGAAAATCCATTGCAGGGAATTTGTTTGCTGTATTCTTGATGTTTTCCCTTACTGGAGAAATAATAGCATGCTGTTATTCAGGAAGTATGATTGGCTTTCTATATCAAGCAGGAAGTGTAATAGCTCATGATGTGTGTGAACTATATAATGGGTTTTTCCCTTTTCAGTCTTGTAAAAGACCTTGTTCTTTAATCTGCTGATTGAAGTGTATTTTATTTTTTGAAGAACTTCCAAATTTTATTCCATTGTGTATCTCATTTATGCTTTTTGTGAACAAGAAAATAGTCAAAATGAGACTGAGGTTTGCTATTTGACTATTTGAAATCACGATACTAAAAATGAAAAGGTCTCAAAATGTTTATGGACCAAAATGTGTTACAGTAATAGTTTTAGTTTTACTGAAAATGATATATAGCCCAACTGCATGTAAGCGGTGGGGGAGGGGGAGGTAGCAGCTTTCTACTTTTTTATGTTAATTTTTTAAGCACTCTCCCTTAAACTTCTTGTTCTTTTTGTTTGTTTTTTATCCTTGTGCAGCTTCAGAAACTATCATGTCTGTTCCCACCATCATGGAGGATGATGACCAGGAGGTGGATTCAGCAGATGAGTCAGTCTCGAACGACATGATAACAGCCACAGATGAGCCCTCCAAGATGTCTGCCGTCACCAGGAGAATTCGACGCTTCAAGCAAGAATGGCTTAAAAAGTTTTGGTTTTTGAGGTACTCCCCTACCCTGAATGAAATGTGGTGCCACGTCTGCCGGCAGTACACAGTGCAATCTTCTCGGACTTCAGCCTTTATCATTGGCTCTAAGCAATTTAAGATACACACTATAAAACTTCATAGCCAGAGCAACCTCCACAAAAAGTGCCTGCAGCTCTACAGGCTCAGGATGCACCCCGAGAAGACAGAAGAAATGTGCCGCAATATGACTTTGCTCTTCAACACAGCCTATCATTTAGCTATGGAAGGTCGGCCTTATTGTGACTTTCGGCCCCTTGCAGAACTACTGAGAAAGTGTGAACTCAAAGTGGTGGATCAGTATATGAATGAGGGAGATTGTCAAATCCTAATCCATCATATCGCTCGAGCTCTGAGAGAAGACCTAGTTGAACGAGTCAGGCAGTCTCCCTTCCTCAGCATCATTTTGGATGGGCAGAGTGACGATCTACTTGCTGACACAGTTGCTGTTTATGTACAGTATATCAGCAGTGATGGGCCACCAGCCACTGAATTTCTCTCTCTCCAAGAGCTGGGGTTTTCTGCAACAGATAGTTACATCCAAGCATTGGACAGGGCCTTTTCCTCCTTGGGAATTAGACTGCAAGATGAAAGGCCAAGTGTTGGTTTGGGAATAGATGGTGCTAACATTACTGCTAGTCTTAGAGCTAACATGTACATGACAATCAGAAAAACTCTGCCTTGGTTGCTTTGTTTACCCCTCATGGTACACAAGCCACACTTGGAAGTATTGGATGCAATCAGTGGGAAAGAACTTCCATGCCTAGAGGAGCTAGAGAACAACCTAAAGCAGTTGCTCAGTTTTTACCGTTATTCCCCAAGGCTGATGTGTGAATTGAGAGTCACTGCAGCTACTCTTTGTGAGGAAACTGAATTCTTGGGAGACATTAGAGCTGTCAAATGGATCATTGGGGAGCAAAATGTCCTCAATGCACTGATCAAGGATTACCTGGAAGTGGTGGCCCATCTCAAAGATGTCAGTGGGCAGACACAAAGAGCAGATGCATCTGCCATTGCCTTGGCTCTCCTGCAGTTCCTTATGGACTACCAGTCGATTAAGCTGATATACTTTTTGCTGGACGTAATTGCTGTACTTTCACGTCTTGCCTTCATCTTCCAAGGTGAATACCTCCTTGTGTCACAAGTGGATGACAAGATAGAGGAGGCCATCCAAGAGATCAGCAGGCTAGCAGATTCCCCTGGTGAGTATTTGCAGGAATTTGAGGAGAACTTCCGTGAAAGCTTTAACGGTGTTGCTGTGAAAAACCTACGGGTGGCTGAAGCCAAATTCCAGTCGATTCGAGAAAAGATATGCCAGAAGACCCAGGTCATTCTTGCTCAAAGGTTTGAGCCTCGCACCCGGGCATTTGTGAAAGCATGCCAGGTGTTTGACCTTGCAACTTGGCCAAGAAGTGCAGAGGAGCTTATGAGCTATGGTAGGGAAGACATGGTGCAAATATTTGAGCATCTGGAAGCAGTGCCAACCTTTTCCACTGACATCATCAGAGAAGGCATGGACACCAGAGGGAGTTTGCTGATGGAGTGGCGAGAACTGAAGGTGGATTATTATACCAAAAATGGCTTTAAAGATCTAATCAGTCACATTTGTAAATATAGGCAGAGATTTCCTCTTTTAAATAAAATAATCCAGATCCTCAAAGTCCTTCCCACTTCGACAGCCTGCTGTGAAAAAGGACGTAACGCCCTTCAGCGAGTGCGTAAAAACAATCGTTCTCGACTTACCCTAGAACAGCTCAGTGACCTTTTGACAATTGCTGTTAATGGACCACCTATTGCCAACTTTGAAGCCAAGAGAGCATTAGATAGTTGGTTTGAAGAGAAATCTAGCAATAGTTATGCACTGTCTGCAGAAATGCTTAGCAGGATGTCCTCCTTGGATCAGAAACCTATGCTGCAGAGTATGGACCACGGATCAGAATTTTATCCTGATATTTAACAAGGAATGCCTCTCATTTAGAAAGCTGTTGAATCTTTTTTTAAAAAATCAATACTCTAAGCTTTGATATGTTATATGGAAATATATATATATGTAAATGCCACACTGAAAATTTATCAGATGAAAGCTAAGAAGATTTTTTAAAGACAACACTTAACATTTACTGACATCTTCAACCGTGGCAGCTGCAATGTAGGTGGCAACATTTCATTCTTCAGAAACATGCTGGGGCCATAGGCTGTATTTCAAACTGATCAATTTATAAGCTAGACATCACAGGTCAATGTCACTCTACTTCTTGCTATAATTTGTGTGTCCATGTCTGCTTTCTCTCTGCCTTTTCCCTGTTTTTAGTCAGCTGTTGAGCCATTACACGCCTTTCCTTATGATCACTGGGATTTCTGAGCCCTCTGTGTAAGTCGTGGAGGTCCTTTCCAACTCCTTAATTTAATTTAGGTCAGAGTGGTTCCTTATCCATTCTTCTGATGATCTGGTTAACTTTTTGATTGTTTGTCTTATTTCTTTCAATCAGCTTGTGATGCCCCCTTTTTGGTATTACACTCCAGTGGGCATTTTCAGCTTAAGGCAAATCTCCTGTGAAAATTCTACTAACAAAGGCATATATCTTACAATATTGATAGCATGTTCAGATGAAAATAACATAATGCAGAAATTGGGAAATTGGGGGGAGGGATTGTTTTTGCATTTATATTTTTATATAATAGGGGATAAGAAAGAAATTAAACTCTTTACTGAAAACCTGGGCTGCTGTGGAAGCTAGATAGCCAGTGAGTCAAAACCCACAATAGGTTAAAGAGACACACTGGCTTAAAATATACGTATACTAATTTTATGTTATTTATACTCAGTCTTTATAATCATAAATAGATTGTGTCTTCTGTTTTATTCTTTTATATATATATAAGTGAATGAAATGCCTGCTATATTTCTGTGGCAGGGTGTATCAATGCAAGAACCATATTTGGTTGTTATCACATGGCAATGTCCTTTGAGAGGTTCACATATCCTCCTTTGACTAAGGTTTAATTTTCCATTGTATGGCAAAAGGAAAATGAAAGGTGCTATATTTCTGTGTTCGGGGTCTTTTAAAGGATGCACTTGGGCAGGTGCACAAAAATGTGATTTGTAGATGAAATGATAAATGCATTTGTGGAGATATCTTTTTTTTAACTTCAGTGTTTCAGGTCAAATAAGCCTAAATGAGCACAAAATCTCCACAACTGTTTGCCATGTCCTGCTGACTGCCATGGGGCAGTATCATAATAGTGCTAGATGGTCACAGAAATGAATGGAAGGAATCCTTTTGTCCCGAAGAACTACTAGGATGGCATGTTTCCAGAGGGACTAACCTCATGCCAGTCTGCATTGTTTTGGACAAGCCTACCACAATGATGTCAGTTACACTGAACCTTTCTATATTCCTTCCCAGCATCCTCATTTTTCCCACCCCCTTCCTGTTGGTCTTGGTGCTAAGATATCTCTGGAACCATTGCTGCTAGATTATCGCTTTTCATTTATATAGATATATAATTTTATTTTTAACAGTATGTTTTAAGTGATGATGTAGCATGTTAAAGCAGTCTCTCTTGGGGTATATCTACAGCAGTGTCCTTTGCTGCATCTCTTTTAATTCTTGTTTGTCCTGCATTGTTCTCATGCGTATTTGGTTCTTACTTTCAGAATTCCAGACACATTACTGAAAAGAAAAATACAGGAACTTGATATGGTATATGAAAGTAGCCTTGATTCCACAATATTATAACAGTAAATGCAATTGTCAAGATAGTATGGCTTTCCCCGCCTTCCAGAAAAAAAAGAGAAAACCCACAAGTTAGGAGTTGTCTGTAGCAAGTGTACATCAGTGTAAGGATCATAAAGGGGGGCTATTTCGAGATTAAGGAGAAGTATGGGTTACATGAAAGATATGATATGACAAATATTTGTCCAACTTAATTGAACAAAACAAGTGCAAGTTTCTGTTTCTGTCATGTGATACTGATATACAGGACTGGGTAATGGGGGAGGGATAAGGAATGGAAGATGGATTGAGGCAAGCAGGATCTGGGAGCAAATGGCACGAGGTACAGAATGCAGCAACTTTTACACAGAAATATAAATGCTTAGTATAGATACATCTTTAGTCAATTCAGCTTTCCAGAACCCCATTCCCCACAACCACTACCATGGAAGAAGAAGATGTTTTCTTGTATTCTCTGACAACAGTTTGAATTGGACTTCAAAAGTTCCTCCTCCACTACTACTCACTTTGAGCTGCTGGTAGAAAATGAGATTGAAGATGAGCAAGAAGGAAGATTGTTTAGGAAATAGCAGTGCCACATAGTTTTGAGCATTGTTGACTGTAACTATAGCATTATGAGAAATATCAGCATGCTACAACAACAAAGAGCACATTTTAAAGGATTATACCACATCAGTTTTCTGAACATAGCAACAACTGTAGTAATTTGGAGAACACCGATATCTTCAAAGCCAATTGTGTACCATAGGCTTTACATTAGACCAGCATTACATTACAGAGAAATCCCCATTCAAACTAGTTTTTGTCGACCTAGTAACAATATTAACTGAAAGGTAATTGTTACTCACTCAATTAGAGCATAGCACTTGGCTGATTATATAAAGCCAAATCATTTTAAAAAGAAAAATCATTTTATAGTTCCTGTAAATTCTTTTGTCCAGCCATGTCCAGCGATCTGGTTGAATAACAAATTATGGTCAAAAATATTTTTAAAATATAAATATGGTTTATACGTGATAGAGTTCTCTTTCCGTAGCTGCTAGTGTTATGGTGGACTGGATAGAGAGGACAGATTTAATCCAAATTAGGATTTATATTAAAACAAGTTATGTCAAAAGAAACTCCATACATTTAAAAAAATATTGTTGGCAAGTGCTAGGGTAAGCTACACTTTATTTTGCTTATTATTCTGGATAAGAATGCTTTTTCTATCGTACAAGTTGTTACTGGATTATGACACAAGAGTAAGATATTACTCAATGTTCACAGATATATAGTTGTTTATGTTTGCTAATTAGGTAAGGAAATTCATGTTTTGATCAATGCTCAAGGTTTAACGGGTTTCAGGAGGCACACAATTAAATTACCTGTGGGATGCTTATACAATATTCTTTGTGTGAGAGAATAATAAAACAGACAAATTGCTAAGAACAGAAAAATAATTTCCTGCAATCTTCCTCTATTCCATTTTCAGGATTTTCAGAGACATCCGCATTTAAAAAAACCTGGCCATGCTGTAACTAAATCCACCAAAGTTAATCAATTTAAAGTATTATTATTTTAAGTGAAAGAAGCAATTATGTATTTAATCCACTTGCATTGAAATCAGTCTTGTTTAAATAACCTTGGCTATATCATACTCTATATTTCCTAGCATTACAGTTTTTTAAAAAAGTGTTATTTGTTCATGTCTTAATATAGCATGATCAAAACTATATAACTCTGTTTACACCTACAGTCTTAGTAATTTTACAAAAAATATCTTTCTGTTGGACACATGAGGAATTTCCACAGCTGGTTGCCAAAATTGTCACTTTAAAGAATTGTTGTGATTTAGTCATAATCCAAGTTTTTAACATTTGATAGAAATGGTAGAATTTTGCTTCTAAAACATGTTACACCTGGTTGTTGCTTACTGCCTGTAAAGAGATTCCTAGAGTAAATCTCTAGTTCAGCCAAACATATCATCTTCAAACCAGGGAAACCATCCTTTGAGGCAATTTTAGTCTCCCTCAGCTACGCCTTATATGGTGTATTCACAATTTGTTCCTTGAGGCTAGGAAATGCTCCAAACCAGATTTTTGTGAAGCTTCGAGGTGGGGATTACAGGAGGGGAGAAATATGATAGCACTCAGGACTGGAGCCTGCCCAAGAATTAAACACACAATCTTTTACTATGCATTATAGTATTTGCTTGTTTCTTGCTTTAATTGAAAAAAGTCATATAATGGACAGCAGTGTCATGAGGACTTAGTGATTGTGTTCTCATCTATAGCGATGACATAATGCAGTTTCAAACTATATAATGCAGTTTTAAAATGTGTTGCATAGTAGTGTGGATGGGGCCTGTGTGTGGTTAAGCTTGATCTGATATGTGGGTTGCATGTCAGCAATGCTAGATCAGATAAAGAGCTCCTGAGACATGAATGTCTATAGCCCAGGTGTGTGGAAACACGATAAAGCTTCAAGTGAAATGATTGTGTTGTTGGTCAAAGAAGGATTTCATTGCCCTCGCATGTCACTTTTGGAGAGATAGAACTTTTGGTAATTATACTGGATCAAATATTTGTCTAAACTCAGTTGTTTATGTTCTAGCTATCTGTTTGGTTGTAATTTCGATCAGGTAAAATGCAGTGAAAATAAAGTACACTAGAGGGCATCAGCTGTTAAAGTATTTGTAGATGTCTAGGGTAGCAGAAGAGCACAAGGGAACATTATCCATTGGATAATTGGATATTTATCCATTGGATAATTGCTTGCATGGTTCTTACTCAAAAAATTGTATAGTTTTCTTTTGCAGTGAAAAGGAGATCAAAATGGACAATCTGTAAAGGATCCAGTCTTTAGAAACCAAATTAATCAGCCTGTTATGTTCAGACAATATATTATAGTTAAGAATATATGAGTGCTTATATTTCTGAATAATATAAAGAAACAGTTTGTAATCAAGTTTTTTTGTTGTTTTCAGTTTCTGTGAATAATTCGTGCATATCACTCTGTAAACCTTAACTCCTTACTAAGACTTTTACCATGTTGGAGTTCTGTTGCATATTTCCAAAATATCTTTTAATTCAGGCTCTATCACAGCAGCATGCTTCTGTCTGGCTGAAACTTACCAAACACATACTTGTATCATCTTACATGCAACCTACCAGTAATGCGTGGAATCAAAGTCGTAGGGCCAAAAGCCAAACTCAACAGGGAGTATCACAACTAAACAGAAAACCAAAGCTATTTCTACATTTGCAAAAGCACAGTGAGGATGCATGCATGGATAATGTAAGTTTGTCCTCTTATAGAGGCATGTCCTCTGCATCAAAACTGATCCTTGTGTTGATTGTGCCCGTTCCTTGCATTTTTGTCAGGATGGGGTTTTAAAGGCTATTCAGACATTTTGATCCTACAGCACAAGCTGAACTTCTAAAAAATCTTTCAGGTTATTTTTCTACTTAACATTGTTTCTATTTTGTGTAGTAGAGCTGATGCCCACTTTTCCCCTGTTTACTGCATTGCTTGGAACTTATTTTTTTGCAGATGGCTGTTACCAGAATCCCCAGCCAGTATAGCCACTCTTCCCTCCTCAGTTTAAACAACAAAAATCAACTCAATCCATAAAAGTGGTTCCTCAACTATTAGAAATACATAACTCTGCTCTCCAGCCATTGTACTTTCACTCCAATAATACTTTCACACCAGTAATATCTATGCAATTCTTATTTCCCTTTGTAAGTAGTTAGAACATGTCTCTTTGAAACCTGGTGTATATATGTAATACTGATTCCCCAAAAGGTGCAATCTAAAGAAATCTATGGGACTTGAGCTTTTAAATCCTATTGCTTTCAGGTGGATTTTGGTTCAGCCAACTTTCTCTAGGTTGCCCTCTCACTGGACATGATCTGACTAAGGCTGAGCATTTTGATGCTCACATGATTTCAGAGGGAGAAACTTGAGTATGAGCTTCATCCTCCCATTGAAATCAGTGGCTAGATTATGCCTATAGCTTTTGTATAGCATGCCCCATGTAATAATTCATATAGACCACACCATATAAGAAATTAATTCACATGGCTACATGTCACTATATATATAATAGACTATATATTTATATATTTATATGTTTTCAATAGATATAAATAGATTTAGAGAACTGACTGCTCTGGTGCAAAGGCTGGCCCTGTGTTTAAGCGACAGGTATACAGCACCAAAAATTAGAGGTGTGGCATTTAGTTTTACTCCAGTGTTTGCCTGTTGAAAGAAAGTTGTCTAGTGAAAAGTATTTTGCTATGGGTTGGAAAGGCATACCAACAGGGTTCACAGTGTGTTAATAGATGCCTCTGTAGCAGTACTGGGGATATCTTGTGATAAATGATAGTGAACACATTTGCTGCAACGTAGGTTGTAGATGCCTGTGTTCTCACTTTTGGATAATATGTATTCAATCCACTTGTGCACTTTCCCTCTTTGCTAATTAACTGCAGGTGGAAATACAGCTTGTGCTGTACCTAATTGGTATTGCCTTGTAGTTAGCAAATTGAAATGGTATGATACATTTGAGTGGAATACAGGCATTAGTTGCACTTGGCCAAGCCTTATTGACTTTCAGCGGCACTTACATTTGTGCAACCTGGATTATTTTGTTTTTATAAAAGACAGACTCAAAAATGAGGGAGAAGATAGTATCTGGAAAGTGGATCTGGCATAAGAAGAAAACGTTTAAGTGCAATGTTAAAAGGTGAATGTATTTAGCTGGGGAGTCATGCCACAGATGTTCCCTGTATGTGCAGTTGTATTGCTGTACCTTCACTACTAGTATACTCTTTGCTTACACTTTTTAAGAAAATACAATTTTTCATTGTTGAAGGTAAATTGATTGGCCATTCAAATGGCTTCAGAATGAACAATGAACTGAAGTCATCAGATGGCAAACACTATCCTGAATGCTGAATTCATTTCAGTAGTTCTGGCTTGAGGCATTACAACTGAACCACTCTGACAAAAACACTGTTGATGTGATGTTATCCTTTAAAACTATGACTAACAAAATCATACATTTGTTGCAGATCCAACCACCATTTTCATTGATCATTCCTTTGTGAAATACATGCTGGGAGGTCTTTGAGCTGAACTTTCCCTTTCTTTGCCCAGGTTTCGACAAAGCCATTTTGATTCTGCAGCTGAAAATTGTTTTCTGTTGGTAAGACAGGTATCCCAAAATATGTTTGTTTGTTTGTTTGTTTGTTTTGGGGGGGGGGGAGGGATAAAACATTCAGACTTCAAGCATCCAGGCACTATGTAATATTTTATGCAAGTTTTGTTGTTACAATTACTCTGATCATTGGGAGGATTTTTTTGGAAAATGTAGAAACGGTTTTCCTTCAATCAAGTGACTACTTGCACTGGTGTTGTGCAGCTTTATGTTGAGCGAACTTGTGCCACATACCTCTGGAAATGGAGGTTTGTTTATCTTCTTGTGATACATCAGGGCGTTGCCACCACACAACTCTGGAAACCCACCTCAGTTACAAACCAGGCCTACCTGAAACCCCACACGCTTCAGGATTGTAGAGTGTCAATCCATACAAGAACAGCTACCTAGAAAATGTTTTCCTCAGGATCAACCTCATGAACAGTTTTACCTTCTCATGGCTACTGGACTCTTCTCTGGCCCGCATGCTGCCAACAAAGCACTCTCACTCTGTATTGAAATCCCTCAAGCACTGCACCTCATGTACAGAAAAGCTGCCCCAGGCCACACTGGGGAGGCGTATCACACAAACTCTAATTGTATAAATGCAACAAGGAGGGCTGCTGGATTTCTCCTCTTCAGGCACCCTTGCATAACTCAGAAGCATCAAGGGGATGGAAATACCTCCTCGTGTTTGGCCTTCCCCTCACCCCTTCCCCTCA